TTTGAACACGACTACATGGTAAAGTAGTAAAAGTCTAAAAGTTACCCCGTAGACGACGAGTGATCTGCTCTAGGTCAGTATCAACGTTTGCACCGGGATCAGATTTCACACCGAGACCAACGTCGGCTCCAAGATTACGCTTCACGCCTACATTTACATTGGCACCGATACCAAGTCCAACGCCCGCTTTGACTCCGAGACCAAGACCAGGCTTTCCGCCGAGACCCGCATTCGGACCGACGCCCAGGCCAACGTCGGCCTTCACCTTCGCATCGACATCCGCGTTGACTCCGAGACCAAGACCAGGCTTTCCGCCGGGACCCGCGTTCGGACCGACGCCTAGACCGACGTCCGCCTTCACCTTCGCATCGACATCTGCGTTGACTCCGAGACCAAGACCAGGCTTTCCGCCGGGACCCGCATTCGGACCGACGCCCAGGCCGACGTCGGCCTTCACCTTCGCATCGACATCCGCGTTGACTCCGAGACCAAGACCAGGCTTTCCGCCGGGACCCGCGTTCGGACCGATGCCTAGGCCGACGCCCGCCTTCACATCCGCATCGACATCCGCGTTGACTCCGAGACCAAGACCAGGCTTTCCGCCGGGACCCGCGTTCGGACCGACACCCAGGCCGACGTCGGCCTTCACATCCGCATCTACGTCCGCGTTGACGCTGATACCGCCCTTCCCGGCGTCGATCTGTCTATCAACGTTGAGATAGTAATTAGGTTCGTGCTGTGGTGAGTTCACGACCTCCGTGTCATCAGCTAGGTCAACTCCGCTTGAAGAAGTAGAGACGCTGTCGCTTCCAGTAGCAGGACTTTCTTCGGTGCCATACGACGAGACATCCACGCCGCCACCAGTCTCTAAGCCACCATCAGTGTTCGCGTATCTGATTGTTGGGGTGGCGGTGGTATCTCTAGTAGTGACAAAGTCATCTTGCTGGGTAGCTGATTGGTATTCTACACCGGCCGGAGTAGTGATCTGAGTGGACACTTGCACAGTAGACGAGGGGCACGGGGTGACTGTCGGAACGGTTGGGGCAGCATCACAGTCATCTGCATACGCATTGTCGGCATGAGCCGTGAAGTCGGAGAGCGCGACAGCCACCGCGAACAGTTTGAGAAAGGTTTTACACGAAAGCATTATTGTTGTTGAGGGTACTTGAGCCGCCGTAAAAGAAGAAGGCGAACGGGAACAACGGGGTTGGAGGCTCGAGTGAAGAGAGGAAATTGGGGAATGAGGTTGCAGTGGCGCTACGCTAGACACGTTGGTTGCCGCCACTTGCTACGTTATGTTTAATCACCTCAAGACGCCCTCTCGTGACGACGCAACACTAAACAAGCTCATTCGGATCTCAGGCGTATGCTTCGACATATTTGTGAGACGCACTGTCCATTTGGCGGCTTCCCGTGACCACGTGAGAACATTTCTCTCTCTCTCTTCCCCTATATTGAATCACTCCTGGCTGCACTTGGACTTAAAGTAATTTAAATGATGACAGCCAAAATTAGAGCGGGACTTGCTGCATAAGATACGTTCAGAAATCATCATACGGCTTTTGGTGACCCTGGGTCACCAAAGGTCACTGACCCAACGACGGGTCGACTGCCTGCTTGAAATTGATTACATGCGTAAGATCGAACAGCAGAGTCATTTCGAAATTTCAGTGGGTGAAAGCTCACTGAGTGCATACACATGAACAGTAATATTATTTCTTAGAAATGTGTCTAGTACAATACAAATATGAGCTCTTAAAGGTACACAGTTACGAACAATCAGGTTGTACTTAGTGATTTATTTTAGGGAATTTGACAAGAGTAGTTTAGATTCAATCTTAATTGACAAGATTAGTAAAAGCGGATGGTGACAGAGTATTGCCGGATGCGAAATTAAATTTACAGTATCAGTGTAGATCGCCCTACTTGTAATGGCGAACAAATTTCATGATACGCCGCATGTGCCAGCAGCTTACAAATATTCCTAAGCCAGTTATGAAACAATGATAGATCTGGTCGTCTGGTATGCGCTTGCAGCTGCCAAACTAGCATTTTGGTTTGTTGCTTGACGTTGGATTTCTCGGGCACTATGAGCCGTGCAGTATTTGGCATCAAGTCCGCGTGAGGCCGAGACGGACAACATTTCTTTTTCATAGCGCCAGCTGCGCAAGTGTTTCCGCCGACATTAACTTCGACATCAGCACCACCACCTTTCAAAATGCCAATACTACGGCGGATTGAATGCATCTCGTCGGTCGAGATGCTACTGTACCATGCAGAAAGTAACTATCGCTTTTGGCGTGGTCTCTGCTGAAGACACCGATATTTACGAATGGCATTTGATATTTAAAAGAAAAAGGTAGTCGACATACTTCTTTGCGACATAAGTAAAGCCCGACGTTTTGATCTCTATTCGGCGACAGATGGCTTCCTTGCTCTAAGAGCATTCCCACAGGTTCGTCAAATTTCCCCCCCCCCCCCCGAGAATAAATTGTGTATTTCTAAGCAGCGTTGTTAATAATATACTGTTTCTGTCACCACTTGCAGTTTCTATAAAATGCCTTACTAGAAACTCGGGGGGGGGGGGGTCTGAGAGCCTCTGATTATGTCAACTTAGCTTAAAAAAAGACATTAAACTTGCTGAATGATCTGCCTACTCGCTGATTGGTGGCCTCCTTGCGGTGGCAGTTCTTACGCAGCGTCTAACCTCGAAAACACGCATTCCTACGTGTACGCTAAGCACCTTGCAGCATAGGAAGCGTCTTTAGGGGCTATTTCATTTGAGAATAAGTAGCTCTCTCTGTTTAGCACTCAAATATTAAAAGCAACATGTATTATTTAAAAGTAAATACTTCGTAATATAAAAACGATGCCGCCTTCGGATACCTTATCGGATATCGCTTACAGTAGTAATTGTCATCAGCACATATAAGTTCTTTTTGCTCAATCTAAACCTATCTATCTTTGTGGCTCAAGCGACAACGTTTATTAGCACAGCGTTGCTTTTACGGCTAGCTTCTGTTGTACATGTATAATCTGTTTGGCAGCTCAGTCGGTAACCTCACATTCAGAAATGCTCTTAATATTTCTACAACAAAAACAGTTGTAGTTATTCTTTTAGTCACTGCTTCTTGCAGAAACTATAAAGAACATAATATTTTGTGCATTAATAGTATGGCCTCGAAAACACACGTGTACGCTAAGCACCTTGCAGCATAGGAAGCGTCTTCATTTGAGAATAAGTAGCACTCCAAATTAAAATAGTACAAATAAAAACTTCGTAGTATTTAAACGATGCCGCCATCGGATAATGGATAGCCTGGTGCAAATCTCCATATGTGCTCTGTGAACCACATGAATTTACTGATGTAAGCTACATAATTCGGTTTTAACCTATCGAAGCCGCCTTCGTTCCGCTCGTCAGCCAATGGGAAGGCTAAAAAATGTGAGCGTTTCGTCTGACGGACGGACGGACACCGTGCTAGCATTGATACTTTAGGACTAGTCGGTCGCCGCCGCTACGCGACAGAGGTGGCAGGCCTTAGTCCCAGAGGCAATGGGCTCCCGCCTTCGCTGCGCTCCGGCGTAAACATGATTTATATAAACGTGTTGTACCAAATGCATATGTAATTGAACATTCCTACTCCGAGCCAGAGATCTGCCTGTAGACAATGTTCTGGGTGTAGATCCCATCCTCCTCCTCTAGCTTTGGGTACTCGACCAGCACCTTGATCCTTGATCTTGAAGTCACTCGCGACATCGCAACGTACAGCTGCCCGTGGGAGAAGCAAGGTGTAGCCCCAAGTACTGCACCGTTTGTCCTTGCGCTTTGCTAGTGGTCATCGCAAAGGCCGGTTGGACAGGAAACTGCTTGCGTCTCAAATGAAACGGAAAGCTCCGAATGTCTCCGTCACTGATGAAAACAATGCGGGGAATCAACACATGTTACCCTTGTCGCTCACCTGTCATGGTTGTGGCGTGGATGACATGTGGCTTGAGGGCCACGATTCGAAGCTGTGTTCCGTTGCACAACCCTAGATCTTGATTTAAGCTCCGCATCATCATGATAGGCATTCCTAGCTTGAGGGTCAACTAGTGGGGAGGCATTCCACTGACATTCATCGAGTGGAGTACCTCTTGCTCGAAGAAATTGCCGTCACCGTCGTCTTGTACAGAGTCGGAAGACTTGTATTCTCGCGCCTGTCTAGTTAATCGATCGGTCACCGCTTCATTGATGCGGTGCACGATTGCGTTCGTGGTCGTGAGGATCGTACGGTTAGCGAAATACTCGTCGGTAGCAACCTCGGGGCTATTAATCTCGCCATACATCTTGTCAATGATCCGATCCATGGCTCTTGAAATGGCGCCAGGACGAATTTCTCGGTACTCGTCCTCTGGCACAGGTCGATTCTCAATCAGCATATCGCGTGGGATCGTCATGTAATCGCTTCCTAGGGAAGGGCTTACATTATGCCTTCCCTCCCCACTTGCAGCAGAAACTCGGAGAACGCAGCCATTTCCTCAGAAGTGTCTGCAGTATCAGTAGTGCGCACTCGCATGTTTTCCGCAAGCCGGAACGTCTAAAATTGGGGCCACAGTCTAGACGACTTGAGGCAAGCGTCAATTGTCTCGACGGGTGCTCCATTCTTCACGACCGGGAGAATCTGGCGGAAATCTCCCGAAAGTACAAACACTTTCCCCCCAAAAGGCTCGGTATCGTTGTCAAGTATGTCCCGCAGTGTTCTGTCTACTGCCTCGAATGCGTGGCGATGGGCCACAGGTGCTTCGTCCCAAATAATTAAACTTGCATGTTTGATCAACTCCTGAATATGGGAGTTCTTCCTGATATCGCACGTCGAGCTCTCGTTCAATTTCAAAGGGATCTTGAATGTAGAATGAGCTGTCCTTCTACCCATGAGCAAGAGCGGGACAATACCGCTAGACGCCACAGAGATGACGATTTTCCCCGATAGTCTGACTTTGGCCAGTATGTTTCGAAGAAGCGTAGATTTTCCAGTGCCACCCGGGCCATCGACAAAAAAATCTTTTTGCCTTCCTGAGGACAGTCTACCGCTTCAATAATCTGGTCGTAAACCACTCGCTGTTCTTCGTTCAGCTGATCTTCTGTATTTACTATCGCCTCCAAAGCTGACGCATCGTATCCAGTGAGCTCACGTCGAAGTAAGCCGTTTTGGCGAAGCGATTCACGAATCAATGTTGGGAACGACCCCAACTGAGGAAGCTCGTTGAAGTCAGCTACCGCATACCCATTCACTTCAAGGGGTTCTTGAATGCTCATCAGCGTTTCAAATTCGACCAGCGCCGACTTGAAGGGGTCCATCAAAGCCTAATGTTTGCGTGCGAAGTCTTGGGAAAGATCGGCGAAGAACCGATCCCATAGAACACCAAAATTTGCTGGAGCTGAATACACCATAATGGTGACGAAGAGCTGGCGTAGGTGATACGGCATTTAGAACTCAGCCGCTTCCGTCAAACACGAAATCCACTCGTTGTCACTCTCCAAGTAGCCAGCCTCCCGCGCCGCAATTTGGAATGTGGGGCAGACAACCCCGGTAACCGTTCTCAAGTTTTCAAACGACGTTGGACCTCTACGCTGACAGAGCAGTAGCCGAAGATAGAACCGCTCCATATCTCGAGGAGAGACGTGAATCATGTGACTAATCGCAGCTTGATACTGTTTCCGGCGAACCCATCTTTTCGGTTGCCCTTTCTCCGGCGCTTTCCAGCAGGACTCTTTAGGGATGTCCTGATACAACATCGTCCTGGCAATATGATTCTCGGGCACTTCACTCGCATACAACTCAAAGAATCTGGTCAGCATCGTGTGACTACCACGTTCCAAAACCACCTCCGGGTTTTCCGTTTCGCGGAAGCAAACCGTCTGCCCTGACTCAAACTGTTAGCTGTGTCACCGCATGGGTTTCCCCTGAATCGTGAAATCGAGCAGGCGCATGCAAGCTTCCACCGGTGAAATGCAACGGGCGCTCAAGAAACGTAAAATCTCAATCGGTTCTCGACGCGCACTCTGCTGCCCTCCTCGGACTTCTTCCACAGTGAGTATAGCCATGTCGGGACCTTTGTACACATACTTGTACAGGTATTTAGCCGCAGTTATATCCGTACAAACTTCCACATGAATGTGGCAGTTGTACTACTGGGATAAGTACGGGTTGTACGGTACAGCTCACTGGTTGATCGTAGCATCGTCGTTCTCTCTGCCTTGGAACTTTAGAACACCTTCTTGCCGTCGGCATCGTCTGTTCACTGGATATCCATTGGCATTGGCTTGTGTAACTTCTGCTAAGGGTTTTGGATACCCTTTGGTGCACTTGCTATCCTTCATACACGCGCAGGAAGGATTTGCAGGCCCGCATGGACCATGGAGCATGCATGACATGACCGTCTCATACAGTGAGGGTTTGTATCGTTATCTGGGATTTCGGCGCATGCCATCTTGTCTACGATCTCGCGCGTTCGAGGTTTGTCTTCGTCAGCCAAAATAATCAATACGTGAGCGTGGGAGAGCCCTCGTTTTTGAAACTCGACAACGTAAATCCGCGCACGCATTCGCCCCAGGACGCCTTGGTTTAAATCGTCAATCGTCGCTTGCAGTTTCTGCTGCCAGACGCGAGCCACGATATCTGGCCGATCTTGAGCTGTCTGGATCTCGGAAGGTATCACTTCAAGAATCTCGTCCCACTTGGGGTTGCACGTTTCAGTCAGGAAGACGTCGGGCCGTCCATACTCCCGAACAATTGCCATCGATTCTTGATACGACTTGTACATGGACCGCGGGCTACCCAGGTGCGAAGCCGGTAGTATGATACGCTTGTTAACCTGATTAAGAAAGTGGGTAGGTCGTCCTCTGCTGCCTCGATCTTGGTCAGGGTGCGCCAATCTGTTTTGGTCTCGGTCGTATTCCGACAGAAGTACTTCTCCTTCCGCCACAGCCAAAGTATCTTCGTTGAGCAAAGCGTCTTGAACACCCCTGTATTGATGGGCGCGAGGTGTTTTCTGATTGTCGGCCACCCAGCGAAGCTGTTCTTGCTCACATTTTGCACGCTGATCTACACACCACTGTTGAAATAGACGTCCGCCTTGCTGGAGAGCGGACTGGTCATCCACTTTCTGGTGAAGGCGGAACGCGACGTGTTCACCAAGCGACATCGCCTTTTGTTTCCGATAGTCAGCACCATTCGCGAACTCGTCTGTGTAACTCCAGCCCTTCTCTCCATATGGAAGGAGAAGCGGGTATTGGAGTGGATCGTAATCGGCGTGGGTCTCGTACAAAAGTAGCAGCCTTTGACCGCGTGTAAAGAGTAGTAGATCCCGAGGCTGAGCTAGGTTGCCATCCTTAATGAGAGTCGCAGCCACTTCAGACACAGTGGGGCGGTTATGCGTCCTCGGTCGCGAGGAGTTGTTGTGCAGACGGTACACCAAGTCTACTGGAGCCTCCGTGTTGTGTTGACGCACCTGCTGCCCAAACTGGAGGAACCGTTGCGTTAATGGGCTGTGTTCTGCCATCATTTTCTCGATGTCCAGTAGTGCAACACGACCCAGATCCGCGAATATACCAAGACGTCGCTCCGCGCGGCGTTGCATGTCTGGATCCACAATGTAGATCTGCGCAAACTTGGGTGCTACCGCGCGCCTGCCTGACGGTCTATGTGGAGGAGGATAGACCCTAGGTAGTGCCTTAAACCCCCTTGAATGCGATATGTGTACACCCCGTGTGCACCGGCAACGCTCTCGTCTTGGCGTACATTTTGAAACGATCGGTTTGAGCACGAAGCACCAATCGACGTAAACACAAAGGCTTGGCTGTAGGCACGAATCTGACGGCGGAACTCGAGATCTCCGTACAGCTGAAGCAGGTTTGGTGGCGCGGGGTGCAGTGGAGGCAGCTTTACCCTGCCTACCAGACAGCATGATATCGCAGACTCCCCAGGCCACTTCCAAGCATTGCAGATCGGACAAACCGTTGTAGCCGGAAGCTTGTGCCGGCCGTTCACCACGCCGTCACCCGTTATCATGGATGCATCGAAAGTCTTCGAGGGATATCAGAGCGTGTCCATGGCGTACACATTGACGTCTAGTGCGCACCCGCTCGAGTTCTTGCTGATGCTCTTCCGCTGTCTGTCGAGCTCGTCGATCCGTATGCTGCTGGCGATTTAGCTCACTTTCCACTTTCCGATCCTGTGAAGGCAACCTCGCACGTCTTTCTTCGTGGTCAGCTCGGTCCTGCTCCCGTAGTTCCTGGAGCTGGCCCTCGCGTTGCCGAGCTCGACGGACACGTTGGCGCTCTGCACCCTTGTGTCGGGCGATATTACGTTGAGAGAGTGACATATTCGCTCGTTTCGTGCGAGCTCTTTGTACGTCGCGGGTCCGGTCACGATCTGCCTGAGACAATGTCCTGTTAGCTCGTCTTTCGCGAGCTTGTTGCGCTGCTGACACCAGAACCGCTTCTTGAAGTGTAGCTTGTGGTATGACAGGCACCGTAAATAAAGCTACGCCAGCGGCTCCATCTTGATACGCCGCCTCCATTTGAGCCGCAAACCGGCGCTGATGTACTGCAGGATTGGATTCTTCCGTCTTCTCCTCCTGCTCTTCCAAAGCTATCGTTTGACCTTCCGTCACTTCCATAGCCTCCCTAACTTCTTGGCTCACACTGAGGGCTTGTATCGCTTTGTTTAAGTCGCAGCGCTTCCTCTTGCGCTTGTTCACACGTCGTTTCCGTGCTTCCGTCTCCTCTTGCGTTGGTGTCGCGTTAATGCGTTCGTTCTCGCGCACGGCCTCCTCGCGCGTCCTCTTTCGCTTACTCCGAACCATAGCTCTGCGAACACGAAAACGTGACGCGTTAGACAATGTCTAAGTACACCGCACGTAGCTGTAGGTTTTCATAGAGTAGTGTGCTAGAATATGCGTACTACCCAGGATTGCTTGCCCCCATCAAGGTTATCTCCGATCGCTTATCCCACAGTCACGGGCCGTAAGGCCCGGAGCAGTTTTAGTTTGCAAATTGTGCAGTCGAATCTTCAGGGTTGGCCCTTCAAATAGTACTGAAGCTTGAGGTGCGATATCCTTGTGCCAAAAGGCGGCCGTTAATTGCAAAGGCTGGTTATTGATAAGCTATTACAGCCCCCATCCCATCTGTCGGTTAAAAGAGGCCAGTTACGGTACCCCTCCTGATTAACTGCACGCACGCAATGTGCGTGCCCATCAATAACCATTAACGGCCGGCTCAACTGGCTCGCTGTAGGGCTTGCGGTCAATGGACCAGGTGCCAAAATGTGTGCTCGCGCAGCGTGGGCGGTGGGATAAAGCTCGAAGAACCCAGAGGGCTCTGGAACTAAATCCCCATAGCACGGCTACCTACTTGCAGGATAAAATCCGCAAGTTATAAGCTACCCCCTAAGCATCCCCAGGAACCTCGGACTATCTGTGTATGTGTGTCTTGCTAGCTACTAATGCAAACTAACATGCATACACGCAGCGTACCTTGAGTAACGTGGCGTTCCGCGGCTTCCGTTGGGGGCGCAATGTAATTTGAACGGTGCATTTAAGTACGATGTGTGTAGACCACATATAATATGTACACCACATATTGCAATTTTAGCGAATCGAAGCCGCCTTCGCTGCGCATGGCAGCCAGTAGAACGCACGTATTAGCGTGGGTTATTTAACCCTAGCCCGTTCCGGACGTTATAGACGGACACCAGACACCAAAAAGGGGGTAGATGTTGTTCTTCGAGCTGAATTTCTGCACATTTTTTCGAATGCTATTGGTTGATTAAACATATACACTTTTTTTTCAAAAGCAGGTGGATTGTCAGCGCCGTAAATATCTTACCCTGTTCAAACATAGTGGGACCAAGGGATTTTGTTAAACACAGCAAGATGCTTGGTTTTGGCGGCAATAGGGTTAAAGGTTAGTAGCTCTGCTGGGTATCGATGTGAAAGTATGAACGCGACTACACTGGTGACAGTAGAGTATCTCGAACTGAACTCGGGCTTGGTCACGCTGGAGTCTGTGTCGACCGCAATTGAGAGCGCGAAGGGTAGAAAATGGGGGCACCAGGTAGATGTCAGTGTGGAATAGAGCGCGACCAATATCTTGACAACCTAGACTTGAGATTGCATATCTTACAAATATTGATTGCATAATAAATAAACAATCTGTATTTTTACAGCACGTAGCCAACTGTAGGTATTCCTGCTAAATTTAATAACTCCGTCGATTTTACCTGCGTGGGGTAGGAAACCTGGAGCCATTGATTCGAAATGATGATTTTGTAAGGTCATTCATATGAAGCTTGTACGCCTTACAGCTAAATAGCACACACCAAAGACGCCCTGAATTAATCCCTATTGGGCTGTCTGTACTACGTGAACGTATCGCTACCAAAATAAATTCTTGTAAGACGCTGTGTGAGAGCTGCCACCCCAAGGAGGAGCGTTTCTAGTAGGCAGAGCCTTCAGCAAGTTCAGGACATTTTTTTAGTTAACTTAACATAATCAGAGGCCCCCCCCCCTCCCGAGTTTCTAGTGAGACATTTTTATCAAGGATTCTTACAAAAAACAAGTCTACTACTAGTCTTGTGAAATTAAATAGAATTAAGTACGGTAGGATTTCGGTGAACTCCACCTTCAGCTATTAGTAAAATTTATGTCTGAAAATCTAAATGAGTGTATTTGCGGTTCCGTTTTATAAACAGCTAATAAATGATCGCGAGTATTTAATGCAAAGAGATAGTAACGTTAATAGAATAAACAAACAATAATAATAAATGCGGGAGAAAAATACCAGTACAATTTATTATAGTATATATAATTCGAGCACTGGCTGAATGAGGCTAGCTAGGACGGTGGCAAGTCCACAAGAGACCTCTGTTGCGCCTTGCGTTCGTGAAATTCCTCCTCTTTGACACTCTGCAAATACAGGAGATACGGATATGCGCCGTTATCGTCCGTGATTTCGACGCGCATCACGCGTTCCTTCTGGTTCTTGGCTATTGCTGCCGGAAATATTATTTTCTGAAAAAATGCCTTGTAAAAGAGAGGATAGCGTGACACGCACGCGCACGCCCATGAGCAGACGAATGGTGAGTGGCAGCAGCTTCTCGTCGCGGTCTGGGTACTGCGATCGAATAGCAGCGCCTCGCGGTCGTTCTCTTCCATTTTGAAATGGAAAATTTGGGAATCAGCGCGTTGGTCGAAGATAAATTAATATTCATGTTGATATTACAATATCAATATGAGCAGTAAAAAAATACAAGCTGCCTTCGAAACGTTTTGGAGAAACAGAAAGGTAGAAATGTATGTACAATTTGAAATACAACTACATCTAAAAGTTGCCTCGTAGACGACGAGTGACCTCGTCAGCATATACGATCGCACCGAGATTACGCTTCACACCGGCACCACCGACGCCTAGACCGACGTCCGCCTTCACCTTCGCATCAACATCCGCCTTGACGCCGAGACTAAGCCCAGGCTTTCCGCCGGGACCCGCATTCGGACCGACGCCAAGGCCGACGTCCGCCTTCACCTTCGCATCGACATCCGCGTTGACTCCGAGACCAAGACCAGGCTTTCCGCCAGGACCCGCATTCGGACCGACGCCTAGACCGACGTCCGCCTTCACCTTCGCATCAACATCCGCCTTGACGCCGAGACTAAGCCCAGGCTTTCCGCCGGGACCCGCATTCAGACCGACGCCAAGGCCGACGTCGGCCTTCACCTTCGCATCGACATCTGCGTTGACTCCGAGACCAAGACCAGGCTTTCCGCCGGGACCCGCATTCGGACCGACACCCAGGCCGACGTCGGCCTTCACCTTCGCATCGACATCCGCGTTGACTCCGAGACCAAGACCAGGCTTTCCGCCGGGACCCGCATTCGGACCGACACCCAGGCCGACGTCGGCCTTCACCTTCGCATCGACATCCGCGTTGACTCCGAGCCCAAGACCAGGCTTTCCGCCGGGACCCGCGTTCGGACCGAATCCCAGGCCGACATCGGCCTTCACCTTCGCTTCGACATCCGCGTTGACTCCGAGACCAAGATCAGGCTTTCCGCCGGGACCCGCGTTCGGACCGACACCCAGGCCGACGTCGGCCTTCACCTTCGCATCGACATCTGCGCTGACTCCGAGACCAAGACCAGGCTTTCCGCCGGGACCCGCATTCGGACCGACGCCCAGGCCGACGTCGGCCTTCACCTTCGCATCGACATCCGCGTTGACTCCGAGACCAAGACCAGGCTTTCCGCCGGGACCCGCGTTCGGACCGACGCCCAGGCCGACGTCGGCCTTCACATCCGCATCTACGTCTGCGTTGATGCTGACACCGCCCTTTCCGGCGTCGATCTGGCTATCAACGTTGAGATAGTAATTAGGACTTTCCTCGGTACCATACGATGATACAGCCACGTCGCCACCAGTCTCTAAGCCACCATCAGTGTTCGCGTATCTGATTGTTGGGGTGGCGGTGGTATCTCTAGTAGTGACAAAGTCATCTTGCTGGGTAGCTGATTGGTATTCTACACCGGCCGGAGTAGTGATCTGAGTGGACACTTGCACAGTAGACGAGGGGCACGGGGTGACTGTCGGAACGGTTGGGGCAGCATCACAGTCATCTGCATACGCATTGTCGGCATGAGCCGTGAAGTCGGAGAGCGCGACAGCCACCGCGAACAATTTGAGGAAGGTTTTACACGAAAGCATTCTTGTTGTTGAGGGTACTTGAGCCGCCGTAAAAGAAGAAGGCGAACGGGAACAACGGGGTTGGAGGCTCGAGTGAAGAGAGGAAATTGGGGAATGAGGTTGCAGTGGCGCTACGCTAGACACGTTGGTTGCCGCCACTTGCTACGTTATGTTTAATCACCTCAAGACGCCCTCTCGTGACGACGCAACACTAAACAAGCTCATTCGGATCTCAGGCGTATGCTTCGACATATTTGTGAGACGCACTGTCCATTTGGCGGCTTCCCGTGACCACGTGAGAACATTTCTCTCTCTCTCTTCCCCTATATTGAATCACTCCTGGCTGCACTTGGACTTAAAGTAATTTAAATGATGACAGCCAAAATTAGAGCGGGACTTGCTGCATAAGATACGTTCAGAAATCATCATACGGCTTTTGGTGACCCTGGGTCACCAAAGGTCACTGACCCAACGACGGGTCGACTGCCTGCTTGAAATTGATTACATGCGTAAGATCGAACAGCAGAGTCATTTCGAAATTTCAGTGGGTGAAAGCTCACTGAGTGCATACACATGAACAGTAATATTATTTCTTAGAAATGTGTCTAGTACAATACAAATATGAGCTCTTAAAGGTACACAGTTACGAACAATCAGGTTGTACTTAGTGATTTATTTTAGGGAATTTGACAAGAGTAGTTTAGATTCAATCTTAATTGACAAGATTAGTAAAAGCGGATGGTGACAGAGTATTGCCGGATGCGAAATTAAATTTGCAGTATCAGTGTAGATCGCCCTACTTGTAATGGCGAACAAATTTCATGATACGCCGCATGTGCCAGCAGCTTACAAATGTTCCTAAGCCAGTTATGAAACAATGATAGATCTGGTCGTCTGGTATGCGCTTGCAGCTGCCAAACTAGCATTTTGGTTTGTTGCTTGACGTTGGATTTCTCGGGCACTATGAGCCGTGCAGTATTTGGCATCAAGTCCGCGTGAGGCCGAGACGGACAACATTTCTTTTTCATAGCGCCAGCTGCGCAAGTGTTTCCGCCGACATTAACTTCGACATCAGCACCACCACCTTTCAAAATGCCAATACTACGGCGGATTGAATGCATCTCGTCGGTCGAGATGCTACTGTAACATGCAGAAAGTAACTATCGCTTTTGCGTTGGTCTCTGCTGAAGACAACGATAATTACGAATGGCATTTGATATTTTAAAGAAAAAGGTAGTCGACATACTTCTTTGCGACATAAGTAAAGCCCGACGGTTTGATCTCTATTCGGCGACAGATGGCTTCCTTGCTCTAAGAGCATTCCCACAGGTTCGTCAAATTTACCCCCCCCCGAGAATAAACTGTGTATTTCTAAGCAGCGTTGTTAATAATATACTGTTTCTGTCACCACTTGCAGTTTCTATAAAATGCCTTACTAGAAACTCGGGGGGGGGGGGTCTGAGAGCCTCTGATTATGTCAACTTAGCTTAAAAAAAGATATTGAACTTGCTGAATGATCTGCCTACTCGCTGATTGGTGGCCTCCTCGCGGTGGCAGTTCTTACGCAGCGTCTAACTAGAACTTATCCTGGTAGCACGTACGGGAGACCCAGGGAATTACTATTGGGGATGTCAAAACAGAGAAGATCGACTGTACTTGTTTTCGATCTTACGCAGCTTGTGCTCGTTTACATGTAATCAATAGTGCTGTCGACGTCGCGATCCTTGGCACCGATTCGACGGCGACGACGGCGGACGTCTGATCTTTTGCGCGCCGACACCCATCGTTTCTCGTAGTGTTATTGGTTGAAACCATGTGAGAGAGCCATCAATAACAGGCCATTTTTCAGCTTGCTAGCTGCCATATTTACCATGCGCATCAACCAACTGACAGATAGCTCGAAACCAATGCGGAGCAGTGATTGACGTCTGAGCACTGCAACTTCTGCCAATATCTGCTTGCTGTTGTGCGACGTGCGCATCGGAGGTTCCGCCGAGGGCTTGTACCAATAGATAGATTGCAAGATTCAAACGGCCATGGAGGATGACCAACAACTCTCCACGAACAGCAGCACCTTAATTCAAAAGAGTGACTCAAAAGTGGGGTGTATTTTTCTTACGCTGTTTGCATTTCTGGACGTCGAAGTGTAAATCTTCGAATACAGCAGACCTCAACAGCTCTAGTACAGTAATCAATTATTACAAGCAGCACACGTCGACCGGTCGTTGGGTCACCAAAAGCCGTTAGATGATTTTTGAAGCGGAAATCCCTGCTCTAATTTTGGCTGTCATCATTTAAATTTCTATAAGTCCAAGTGCAGCCAGCAGTGATTCATTATAGGGGAAGAGAGAGAGAGAGAAATGTTCTCACGTGGTCACGGAAAGCCGCCAAATGGACAGTGCGTCTCACAAATATGTCGAAGCATACGCCTGAGATCCGAATGAGCTTGTTTAGTGTTGCGTTGTCACGAGAGGGCGTCTTGAGGTGATTAAACATAACGTAGCAAGTGGCGGCAACCAACGTGTCTAGCCTAGCGCCACTGCAACCTCATTCCCCAATTTCCTCTCTTCACTCGAGCCTCCAACCCTGTTGTTCCTGTTCGCCTTCTTCTTTTACGGCGGCTCAAGTACCCTCAACAACAAGAATGCTTTCGTGTAAAACCTTTCTCAAACTGTTCGCGGTGGCTGTCGCGCTCTCCGACTTCACGGCTCATGCCGACAATGCATATGCAGATGACTGTGACGCTGCCCCAACCGTTCCGACAGTCAACCCGTGCCCCTCGTCTACTGTGCAAGTGCCCACTCAGATCACTACTCCGGCCGGTGTAGAATACCAATCAGCTACCCAGCAAGATGACTTTGTCACTACTAGAGATACCACCGCCACCCCAACAACCGGATACGCGAGTCCTGATGGTGGCTTAGAGACTGGTGGCGACATGGCTGTATCATCGTATGGTACCGAGGAAAGTCCTAATTACTATCTCAACGTTGATAGCCAGATCGACGCCGGAAAGGGCGGTGTCAGCATCAACGCAGACGTAGATGCGGATGTGAAGGCCGACGTCGGCCTGGGCGTCGGTCCGAACGCGGGTCCCGGCGGAAAACCTGGTCTTGGTCTCGGAGTCAACGCGGATGTCGATGCGAAGGTGAAGGCGGACGTCGGCCTGGGCGTCGGTCCGAATGCGGGTCCCGGTAGAAAGCCTGATCTTGGTCTCGGAGTCAACGCGGATGTCGATGCGAAGGTGAAGGCCGACGTCGGCCTGGGCGTCGGTCCGAATGCGGGTCCCGGCGGAAAGCCTGGTCTTGGTCTCGGAGTCAACGCGGATGTTGATGCGAAGGTGAAGGCGGACGTCGGTCTAGGCGTCGGTCCGAACGCGGGTCCAGGCGGAAAGCCTGGTCTTGGTCTCGGAGTCAACGCGGATGTCGATGTGAAGGTGAAGGCCGATGTCGGCCTGGGCGTCGGTCCGAATGCGGGTCCCGGCGGAAAGCCTGGTCTTGGTCTCGGAGTCAACGCAGATGTCGATGCGAAGGTGAAGGCCGATGTCGGCCTGGGCGTCGGTCCCGAATGCGGGTCCCGGAGGAAAGCCTGGTCTTGGTCTCGGAGTCAACGCGGATGTCGATGCGAAGGTGAAGGCGGACGTCGGTCTGGGCGTCGGCCCGAATGCGGGTCCCGGCGGAAAGCCTGGTCTTGGTCTCGGAGTCAAAGCGGGCGTTGGACTTGGTTTCGGTGCCAATGTAAATGTAGGCGTGAAGCGTAATCTTGGAGCCGACGTTGTACTCGGTGTGAAATCTGATCCCGGTGCAAACGTTGATACTGACCTAGAGCAGATCACTCGTCGTCTACGGGGTAACTTTTAGACTTTTACTACTTTACCATGTAGTCGTGTTCAAATTGTACATATATTTCGACATTTCTGTTTCTCCAAAAGTTTTCGAAGGCAGCTTGTATAATCTTTTTCTTTTTACAATAACACCTTGAGTATTGACCAATCACCGACCGCCATCACCTTCCTTGGCGCCGAATCCTAATTTATTCAATTTCAAAATGGAAGAGTACGACCGCGAGGCGCCGCTATTCGACAGGCGCTTCCACGTGCTGGTGCAGTACCCAGACCGCGACGAGAAGCTGCTGCCACTCACCATCCGTCTGCTCACTGGCGTGCGCGTACGTGTCACGCTATCCTCTCTTTTACAAGGCATTTTTTCTTAAAATAATATTCTCGGCAGCAAAATAATGCCAAGAACCAGAAGGAACGCGTGATGCGCGTGGAAATCACAGACGACGACGGCGCAGATCCGTATTTTCTGTACTTGTGGAGCGTCTCAGAGGAGGAATTCCACGAACTCAAGGCGCAACAGAAGCTTCTCGTGGACTTTGCCACCTTCCCAGCCAACCTCATTGAGCTGCTACAATGCTGTCTTAAAGACAGCAAGGCAATTGTACAAGAGGACGCAGAAAAGGAGCAAAAAGTCGACGATTCAGCTGAAGAAGGACGTTCTATCTCTATAAAGAGAAGCTCTATTGACGCTCAACACAGCCGATCTGCTGGACCTATACCTTTAAGGTACGCTTTGGTATTTTTATTTAACATATTCTAAAGGTCAACTTATTTTTTTTAAAATGAATTTCAAGCTATTTGGCGGTGCTGAACACGTCGGATAGCGACGGGATGTCGGTGTTTAGCATTGTGGAGACGAATCCATTCAAGCAGTTGACGCATCTGTCGTTGAGGTTTTATCCTGGCGACGACGCAGCTATCAAGGCGTATCTCGCAGCGAGATTAGCGCAGGTGGGGGCGAGTAGACGGTCGTTGGCGACCTCATTGAAGCAGACGACCGAGGAGCTGCAGGGTACGCAGAAGAGTGAGGCCAAGCTACAGCAACAATTGGCAGCTTTGGGATATGAAGCCGAGTCGACGCTGTCTCAAGAGAAAATGAAGTTTGCGGACGAGTTAGAGACGCAACGTAGAGCTGCGACGTCTGCGTTAAAGCAGCGAGAAGACGAACTGAACGCCAAGATTGACGTATTGGTGGAGCGATACGAGAAGGAGGTGCGTTTGGTGTCCTGTGTGTGTGCGTGTTTAATAGTATTGAGAGAAAAATTATTGTTATTGAATAGCTCCAAGCACTGAAGAAGACTGCGGAAGCTAGCGAAGCGCAGGTGCAGGAACTGAGCAGACAGAAATACCAACACGAACTGCAGATCGAGCACTTGCGAGCGCAGTCTCAAGATCTCAGTCAGGGCTCAAGTGCGCTCTCAGGAGAAGTGGGCGAGCTGCGATCGCAGAACAAAGAACTGGACCAAAAAGTTTTCTTACAGGAGAAACAGATTAACGCTCTGCAAGTCCGTGCGGATGCGCTACAGCAGCAACTTGCGGACAAGGAGGAAGTGGTCAAGAAGACGACGGATCTCTTACAGGCCGCTAAAGTGCACAGCGAGGAAGTCGACGAGTCGCTGAAAATGTACCGAGACAACCACGCGAGGCTGCAACAGAAGCTCGAGTTGAGTATCTCGGAGATCAACAAGGTGAGGATGAGTTTGAGACTCGAGAGATACGGAATTTTAATTGTTATCCTATCATTATTTTTTATTAGGGAAATGAGATTATTGAACGGATACAGAACGAAAACCGAACGTTGAAGGCCAAGATGCGGATGAAAGTCAAGATTATTAAACAGCAAGAACATGTACGTTAGGATGCGCTAACTGAGGCTTTGCACACTCTAATCTTCAGAGATAAATTTCTATTGCCAGTTTGTCGAGGAGAAGCAACTTCAACGTGAGGAAGCGCTGTTAGAGTTAAAGTCGACCAAGGAAGATATTCGGAAGCGGGATGAGCATATTTTACAGCTGAAGGTTCGCTAGTAAGTGCTGCGATGAAGAGGCTAAGACACTCAGTTGTTGGTGTTTAACAGGACACGATAAAGGAACTGAGTCAGAAACTGGAAGACAGCAACAAACTCTTGGCATCCAACCAACAAGGTGAGCGCTCAAGTGGTCACAGTTGGGCTCGTATTTGCCTTGAGATCTGACGTCGTTTGTGGTTATTTACTCCAGTGATCACATGGCTGAACAAAGAGATCAACGAAGCACAACTTGGACGTCAACGGAGGTCGACTGCACACCCCTCTGTACTGGCATTTCGTCCGTCTGACAAGGTTAGTGTTGTGTCGTAAGGCTAGCGATAATATCCCCGCTAATTCCTGCTCAATATCCATGACAGACGACAGCAACGGAGTCTAGACCACCTAGTCTTCAGTCATGATTCGACTTACGGTATCCTACTCTAAACTTCCCGTACTTTTGCGCTCTAAATGACCAGTCCTCCGTCGATTCGGATACACTGCCCTGTAATGTACGACGCCTCGTCACTAACCAGGAACGCCACAAGTTGTGCCACCTCGTCCGCCTTGCCGAATCGAGCCAATGGGATGTTGCCTAGCACCCGGTCTCGTGCAGCGTCCGCCATCGTGTCTGTCATCTCTGTCGAAATGAAACCTGGTTCCACTAGGTTTACGCGGATGTTACGGTTACCGAACTCCTTGGCCAGCGTCTTAGTGACGCCCGCTAATCCCGACTTGGACGCACTGTAAGCGACCTGTCCGACATTTCCTGCAGCGCCCACCACGCTGCCGATCGTGACAATACTGCCCTGACGACGCTGCATCATTCTTTTAGCCACCGCCTTACACATGTGTACGGGTCCCACGAGGTTCGTAAGCAGCAGCTCGTCCAGCTCTGCGTCCTTAAGTCTCAATAGCAAACTGTCCTTGGAGATACCCGCAGCGTTTACTAGAGCCGACGGACCATCGCCCAGTTCCTTAGACACTTGCGCTACCAACCGAGCAGCTTCAACACTGGCGTCTCCTTCGCCACGTCGCGGACAGCTGTACGCCAGCGGCAATACATCCGCAGAGATCTTCCGTGCTGCTTCTTGAGCTCGCTCTACGTCTCGAGACGTGATCGCGACCTGCCAGCCGCGTCGATGAAGCTGCTGAGCCACAGCGAAGCCGATGCCGCGACTGCCGCCGGTCACTAGCGCCACTCCCGGCATCGAATCAATGATGAACTCTCGATTAAGTACGGTATTTAGATAGGTTAATTGAGCTACGGTGCTTTAACCTATCAAGAGGGATAGTTTTTATTGGGCGATAAACATGGACGACGGCGACGGGCAGTCGATGGAGTTGCCCGTGTACGTGAGTTTGCCAGTCTCGCTGTCGGCGCGGAAGACGTCGAGGCTGTTGGTGTCCTGGTTGAGCGCCAGCACAAAGTCCTTGTAGAGCAGGATGTCGCGGGGCGTCTCGCCGCGCGTGGGGAGAATCTCCACGAGCTCGAGACGCGTGTCGGGTAGGATCTTGTAGATGGCGATGCTGTGGCAGAAGCGCGTGGCTGCGTATACAAACTTGCCGTTCGTTGAGATGTGGATGTCCGACGCCAGTGGAGCGGGGCCAGAGTAGTCTTTAGGTACCGTCGAGATGTTCTGCAGTGCCTCGTGGCCCAACTTGCCGGTTTTGGCGTCAAGTGGGTACACGCCCACGGTGTTGTCAAGTTCGTTGATGACGTAGCCCACGCCGAGCTCCGGGGAAAGCGCGAAGTGACGCGGACCTGAGCCAGGAGGACGCGTGATGAACTCCTCGTCCACTAGTTTCTTACCGGCCGCGTCTAGTTTGTACTGTACGAGGCGGTCGGTGCCCAAGTCAGCGGCAAGGAGACCAGTCGGCGTCCACACCGTACTGTGGATGTGTGAGGCTTCCTGGCGGTCCGGGATGGCCATACTGGCGCCGTCGTAGCGGTGGTGGTCCGAGGCAGGGGCCAACGAGCCGTCCGCGTTCACAGGGTAGAGCGAGAGGCTGCCACCGCCGTAGTTAGCAACGGATACGAAGTCTCCGTTAGGACTGAGAGCCACGTGACACGTGTACGCCCCGCCAGTCTCGTGGCGACTGACCTGCGTGAGCCCGCCGTCCTTTTCGATCTTGTAGGCGGACACGAAGCCCGTCTCCTCTCCCGGGTGCAGTTGGGACGGCTCGTTGCTCTCATTTACAGCGTAGAGCGTCGAGTTGGTCCCGAAAATGTAGGACGGATTGATACCGGCGCCCTCCGTCACTTTGAGCAGCTTTAACGCGCCCGTGGAGTCGTCGAACGAGTAGGCGTAGATGCCCTTCGCGTGGCCATTCACGTGGCCTTCCTTGCGCGTGTATGTGCCGACGTAGAGGGTTGGCATCGTTGCGGCGGGAATAAATCGGGAAATGTCCACGCACTTTTGATGAGCTTGTTGAAGACAGACAGGATTGGTCAAAATGATGCGTCGGTGCTATTGATGCTACAAATTATATTAATGCATGCGTTTGTAGAGGCGATTAAGTTTGTCAATAAAGCAGAATGTTGTAGATCTCAAAGCAGAATATTGTAGATGCACATAAGACCATGTATGATACATGTAATGAGCTGGGAAATGCAGACATGAAATTTATAATTTGCGATCGAGTTGCGCTTACAAAAAGGATCGATTACAGGAGGTCGATGGTATTGTGCATCTTGGATATTGGAGGCGGTTTGTAAAGTTGCACGAATCACCCTTTTAATCTGATTGGACAAAATACAACTTGCTCAATCCAGGCAGAAACTCAAACTTGAGCGCCACAGGGCAGCTGCAGCTCGCTCCTTCAGGACACGGCAAGCTATGTGTTACAGTCCTCGCCTTGCTGATATACAGCTGATAGATGCTTTCCACCATTTCGGAGTCCAGCGCTACCAGAACAGACAAATTCTGCAAGAATTTCATCGCCACCTCCTTCAAGCCTGCCTTGTTCAGTGGAATTGATATAGTAATGACGCACCAATCCTTCGAATTGACAGCGTCGGAAGGGCGTTAAGCTTGAAGATTTGCACAGCTCCAACATTAGGGGTATTGGGTGGATTCAGCCCTGCAAGCCCGCCAATTTAGACCCAAAGCTGCTGGGTCGTCGAGCCATTTCTGCAGCTTCTTCCACAAACGTGATCTCTTTTCGCCAACTGAGCCATGTGGGGCTGACAGCGACGGCGTCACTGTCTTCCTATTGCCATCACTATCGCCGATCACACTCATCTTAGGGGCCGTCCGCCTCAAAGTGAGCTCGAGGTCACACCAATTCGTTCGCAGCGGCAGGTCCGACCAGTTCATTTGATCGTAAGAAGAGTTCAGCAGCGCATCACTGAGCCGCAAGACGTCTTGAGGCCGCTCCACCTCGTAATGACGCGGTAAACCTGAGCGTTCTTGCTCCTTCAGCGACTTTGCTGTTCCACTCGGTCTCCCCACGGACTAACTGCTTGCAACGGGCTTGGTGCAGGAACGTAAACGCTGCGTTCTTCGTGTCGTGCGTTCTACTTGAAATTTCCAAGCGCAGTTCTTTCATCCAATCAAGCGACCTATATAACTAAGTGTAAACACCGTAGCGAAGGTGGCCAATATCCAGATTGGGGCTTACTTTCACCAAACGAGACAAAATGGGCCGCATCATAGATGGATTGATGGATTCCCTGTTTTGGAGGGCGTTGCTGATTAACAGGAGGCCGTATTTGAGTATCGGTCCGGAGGCATCGCTTAATGCTGGCACAGGCGTGCGAAAGCTGACAAGCATCTGCACATACAAAACGTCGTATGCTAGTGTGGTGCAAATCACATATCCAAATCATTAATTATCCGACCTAGGACCTGTGCCAATAATTTGGTATATCAAACAAACAAAAGCCAACAGACTTTATTTGACAGTTACGGTACCTAACGGTAATCAATGTGTTTAAATGTGCAAAGATGCCAATACGCGATTTGAAAATTTAAACGAGAGCGTGTTGTGTCAAATTTATAGGCGGGTTAGAATCGCCTGAAACGACCTGTAGCCTGAGGAAAACGCAATAGCCAAAAATCTTGCAAATTCTGCTCGAGAGCCATGTGCTCTCGAGCCAGTAAATAAGAAAATGAAGCCGAAAGTGGTGGTGATCCGGATAATCAGGCGCTGTCCGGATACTCGGAGCCCAGCATCGATAAACGAGCATGATTGGGCAATCACCAGCCAATAACAACATTTGGCTCATCGGCAAAACACGCCGTCTGTTTAGAAATAAGAAAAAATAGAAATGAAAAAACAAATTATTCACTTCTTATAATAACAACTACCAGACCAGCAAAGTACTGACCGATTTAAGCCTTTGGCGAAAAAAAACCATGATCGCCACATGTTACCCATCCAAGTAGGAGTCGAGCTTGTCCTTGTCATGCCTCCCGTGCTTTTAATGTGGCGCTTGATACGGGTCTCCCACAGTCCCTCAATAGTATAAGTATGTGTTCCCGTAACCGGGTCTACAAAGTTGAGGCTGAGATTGACCCAGCTATGCGTGTAGCTCATAGAAAGCAGGAGACGGTTATTCTCGAGAGTATGTTGCTTGTTGCCACGCTCACAAACGTACGTAGCGAACAAGTCGGACATAATCTTAGTTCTACAAAATTAAATAATAGGAAAAAATAATTAAAGGAGCCACCGATTACCAAAAAAGTAAATAAACTTACCGTGGCCTGATAAACGACTTGATTATGGAAAGAAGTGTCTGCTTTGTTCGTTTGTCGTATACGATCGGCCAGCCCCGCTCTCCACACCACCAAAAAGCCAGTATTCCTGGTAGTGGCGGCCTCTATTGTATTTACGCTTCTTGGCCAGGCTAGTCTCGTCAATCTCCACTATGTGACCGTCTCCTCCAATCTACACGCAGCATACCAGCAAGTTTAGAGCAACCTAAGCAACTTAAGCAAAGTAATTGTGCAACTTCACCTTTAACTCGGTCTTCAGGAGTTCCTTCGAGCACGTTCCGCGGCAGTACGCATAACAGTCGCGCACTGTGCGTTCGCTCGCCTCGGCCATTTCCATTGCCTGCGCCTGAGAGAGCCTCATGGTCCAGGCCAAGAGGATGCGGACGGCCCGGTGTAGCTTTAGCTTGGCATCGTTGAAGCATGAACAGGTCAGCATGCCAATTGATTGTTCCTTTCCATCAGCATGCTTAGTCCTGCGAGAGCACCGCCAGCGCTTTCGGGCCAATGATGGCTTCATGAGGCTTCCGCAGCTTAGGCATCGCTTATGCTTGTCTATCAGACCCACGTCCATGCACCAGAGGGCGCAAGTCTCTTCGTCGAACGTCACCTCCATCACGTTCGAGAGAGCGAAGAGACCTTCGTCCTCTACGTGATTCAAGTACGATGTCTGCAAAGTGAAGCTTGGGGCGGGGCTTGGGGCGGTACTTGATGGTCTTGGGCGCAAAATGCGTTGTGAGGGCAATTACATTGGCGATTTGAAGTCTAGTGGGCTTAGTTTTCTTTTGAATACAAAAACCAAGTCAGTTACAACATGGCGATCCTCCGTTTTGGCGCCAAAAGTGGGCGTGTTCTGCTGAAAATGCATACACAAGGTTTACACAACATTTGCTGAATGTACGAATTTCGCTTTAAATTTTTCCTTTCTCTTTTCCTTATTTCTAAACAGTGGGCGTGTTTTGCCGGTGAGCCTAACATTTGGCTCCGTACATACACACAATTAGTCAGTTTCCAGCCGCAGACAGCCAACCGGTGTTGCCGACAGGCATCACAACCACGGTCTTTTTTTTCGCTACTGATCAGACCTTTTCCTCGGCCTCTGAGACTGCACAGGCCGTCCAAGTCGTGCCGTACGTATCCACTAAGGAACCGCGGCCCCCTTGAACGACAACGTAGCTCAATGGTGAGAGCGCAGGGCAATGCCCTGAGGATGTTGGCTCGCATCTAACCGCTGTGTTTCTTACTCTGCTGTGTACGTTTACTGTTCTTGCAGTTTTATTGCTAGCTACTATGAGCGCAACATGTGTGTAATAAGGAGGTGAGAATACATCTTAGAAGATGTTGTTAGCGCATTCGGCTGGGATGTGATACAAAGCGCCATGGGCGGATACTGCACCTTGGGCGACGGCAACCGTGTAATGTAGAGTTTGTATTCCCCAGCAAATTCATTGTGATACTGCATTTCTAACTACAAACCTTGATTGCTAACTAGACCCGTTTTGTACTGCATGCGGAAAAGGTTTGGAACAAACATGGCCTTTTTGTTCACGCTGCATATTGCACTGATGTTAAGCAGCAGTATAATGTTTGGGTCCTGACGTAGCGAGTTGTTCATCTTCTGCGTGAAGTAAAGTGTGAAGATACCGCAATCGTCGCTATTTCGCTGGACCGGGAAGGTTTGCACTCGCTTGGTCGCGTACGGCACTGCTTTCTTCGGTACATGATCACTACCTCTAGCTTGAAGTACCCACCGAGCAATAGACAATTTCTTTGGTGGCAAGCTACTTCTTAGAGTCAATATGTAGCTAGCAAGGTTTCAATCCTTCTATAGCCATGACCGGATTCTGCAGAGCGACAAAACTCCGGTGCATATTCATGCCTATTGGGACAAGAACGATTCTGTACCTCTCGTTTGGAAACCGTGCAGTGATGCCACAAATCGGTTTGTACGTCGCTACCATGCTGTCCTTGTTTTTCTTGTAGGCAATGAAAATACTACCGAAAGGCTGCCAGTCGAAGTTGAATGCTGTCGCGCTAGCAGGCGTATACTCACGAAGATAGTATGACATCACAACGTCATCCAACTAATGCCCGGGATTGATCGTGTCCAAGGATTTTGTGTGACTCGGAGCGCGTAGGTTTTATCGTCAGGCTTGAAGCTATAGCGGTGGTGCTGCACAACCACATCGCTGCCCTTTTGCTTTTAGCACAATTTCTTGGAGCTGTTTATTCGTTGATCTCAACAGGATTGTTCTTGCTACCGAGATTCTTACTCGACACCTATTCTTGGGTCTTATCGGACTCGACACCTGTTCTTAGGTCTTATCGGGCAAAGCCGATACCTTTTCTTGAAGTCTTATCGGGCAAACTCGACACCTGTTCTTGGGTCTTTTCGGACTCAACACCTGTTAATAGGGTCTTATCGGGCAAAGCGGATACCTTTTCTTGAAGTCTCATCGGGTAAGTTCGACACCTGTTCTTGGGTCGTATCGGACAAACTCGACACCTGTTCTTTGATTTTATCGGGCAGATCAGGAGAGAGCGAGAGACCTCGCTCCTCGGACGTCTTAAGCCGGATGAAGCGCACTAAGAGGATGCGGCGGCGTCGATATTATTGTTCTGCTTCTGCACGAGCGACAAGTCGGACGCACGTCCGAACAGGTACCACAGCAAACACAGTAGCGCTGCGTCTTGGTAATCGATCGAAGTAGACGCATTCTTATACAAATAATGCCTGAACTTACGTAAATCGGTCTTAGAGCAAGGTGGCGCCTTACTTACGACCTTGCCATCTCTTTTCAGACAAAATTTGTCTAGATACTTTCCCATACTAAGCAATTTGGTTCGACAAAGTGTTGCTGTGTAGGGAAGAGCTCGAAAAGCCATATTTTAGTCTGCCTATAGCTCTGCACGGCTGTATTGCGGGCAATCTGTTTGCTCTCCTTGCCTTTATTAAAGGCAAGATACATACCAAACAGATCTAAGATAGACACAATGCACTTCCCACTATCGTTTTTCTCAATATAGCTTCAAAATCTACAGCCTCGCGCTTGACAAAAGCCTTGAGCGCCGCAATGGCGGCTGCTTTTGCGCAATTTGTCTTTCCGGGCTTGAGATCGTCTAGTCCCATCCTTGCCGGATGTTTTGTAAATATGCCGGTGATACTTTCATCACTTAATTTTTGAAAAGAAATACACATATTTTTCGGGTCCTTCCGACTATATACGTCGGATTGGCTGGCTTAGATTACCTACCTTCCCCGAAGTAAATATATTGGCTAAAATTAGGTTTTTAGGCTATTGTGATTTGTCCAAATTAATGTAAATGCTGTACTTCTCTGTCCCACCAAATTATAGGGATTTTAGTTTTTGAAAGTAGCACTACCAACATGAGTTTGATAAACGTCTAGGTACCCTTACTCGAAAGCTTGCGACAGCGTGCTATTAGCTATCAGCGACCAGCAAGTAAATGACGCCACGAACGGGGACTCAGATTTGGAGGAAATTCTGTTATTTTTTGTAATTTACAGGTTTTATGAGCGGAATTAAACAAAAATTGCAGTAAATGCTTATTCCGATATGGCGATCCTATACACATTAGCGTAATCATGATCTACGGGTGTAACACTCGCTACTAGGCGCTCAATTCAACGAGGTCTACTGCCTGATAAGTCGATATGTATCAAATTAGAGGAAAATGTCCTCCAATAAGTGGAAGAAGCACGATATTAGCCAATGGGATCATTGGAGCATTCTTCGTGTATTAAACACACAAAATCCCTATAAATTGTTGTGACTGAGAAGTAATAGGCTACTTTAGGCAAATACAAAACTCAAGCAAGGTCGGATAAGTGATGATATTCATAAATTGCCAAATTTATCGGACCAGATGACCTTATCGGACATGCAACAAAACTGTAGTACGCTGAAAGGTGAGGTAGGGCTGATGCTTCAAGCTGCAGGCTAACCTCTTTAGCGATAGAAACGACGATAGCTTTTAAAGGCGTACTTCAAAACGTGTCGAGTTATATTGGCTCATTTAGAGTAATCTGTGCAGCCATACTAGTCCGTGGTATGATCTCAGGAGCTGGCGTTTGATAACAGAGACCCAGACCAATCTGCCAGGTCCGTAGATGCGCAGAGTACTCAGCTGAAAGCTCCGCACTGCTGTCTTGACTTAGTCGATGTACTGGAAGTAGGAAGCTTGCACTTGACATCGATGAATTGGAAGTGATAGCGAAAGGCTCTTTTGGATGCTCACATGGCGTCCTTTGTCATTCGCTATGCCGCTCACTGACAGCTGCAAATGTCCAAAGCAACTGGCAGCACTAGATTCTTACACTCTTTGTTTGACATTCCCTACTTCAAAGTATATCTGGCTAATGATAGACACATTTGAGCGCAATCTCAACAGCTGTGCCCATCTCTTCCTGAAAAGAGCTTCAAATGCTGCCGAGAAAACTTCTTAGTTGAAGCTGATGCTTATTTTTGCCCTCGAAATACTATACCTGCAAGAACTATTTGTTTGGCCTGGAAGCTCATTTTCCCAGATTGCCCGGTAGTACACAAGCTGTCTACAGTCGCCTACGGGCAGTGTGGCCTGTCCCTGGCGATAGCGGTACCGCTGAAAGGTGAGGTAGGGCTGATGCTTCAAGCTGCAGGCCAACCTCTTTAGCGATAGAAACGACGATAGCTTTTAAAGGCGTACTTCAAAACGTGTCGAGTTGTATTGGCTCATTTAGAGTAATCTGTGCAACCATACTAGTCCGTGGTATGATCTCTGGAGCTGGCGTTTGATAACATAGACCCAGACCAATCAGCCAGGTCCGTAGATGCGCAGAGTACTCAGCTAAAAGCTCCGCACTGCTGTCCTGACTTAGTCGATGTACTGGAAGTAAGAAGCTTGCACTTGACACCGATGAATTGGAAGTGATAGCGAAAGGCTCTTTTGGATGCTCACATGGCGTCCTATGCCATTCGCTATGCCGCTCACTGACAGCTGCAAATGTCCAAAGCAACTGGCAGCACTAGATTCTTACACTCTTTGTTTGACATTCCCTACTTCAAAGTATATCTGGCTAATGATAGACACATTTGAGCGCAATCTCAACAGCTGTGCCCATCTCTTCCTGAAAAGAGCTTCAAATGCTGCCGAGAAAACTTCTTAGTTGAAGCTGATGCTTATTTTTGCCCTCGAAATACTATACCTGCAAGAACTATTTGTTTGGCCTGGAAGCTCATTTTCCCAGATTGCCCGGTAGTACACAAGCTGTCTACAGTCGCCTACGGGCAGTGTGGCCTGTCTCTGGCGATAGCGGTACCGCTGAAAGGTGAGGTAGGGCTGATGCTTCAAGCTGCAGGCCAACCTCTTTAGCGATAGAAACGACGATAGCTTTTAAAGGCGTACTTCAAAACGTGTCGAGTTGTATTGGCTCATTTAGAGTAATCTGTGCAACCATACTAGTCCGTGGTATGATCTCTGGAGCTGGCGTTTGATAACAGAGACCCAGACCAATCCGCCAGGTCCGTAGATGCGCAGAGTACTCAGCTGAAAGCTCCGCACTGCTGTCCTGACTTAGTCGATGTACTGGAAGTAAGAAGCTTGCACTTGACACCGATGAATTGGAAGTGATAGCGAAAGGCTCTTTTGGATGCTCACATGGCGTCCTTTGGCATTCGCTATGCCGCTCACTGACAGCTGCAAATGTCCAAAGCAACTGGCATCACTAGATTCTTACACTCTTTGTTTGACATTCCCTACTTCAAAGTATATCTGGCTAATGATAGACACACTTGAGCGCAATCTCAACAACTGTGCCCATCTCTTCCTGAAAAGAGCTTCAAATGCTGCCGAGAAAACTTCTTAGTTGAAGCTGATGCTTATTCTTGCCCTCGAAATACTATACCTGCAAGAACTATTTTTTTGGCCTGGAAGCTCATTTTCCCAGATTGCCCGGTAGTACACAAGCTGTCTACAGTCGCCTACGGGCAGTGTAGCCTGTCCCTGGCGATAGCGGTACCGCTGAAAGGTGAGGTAGGGCTGATGCTTCAAGCTGCAGGTCACCCTCTAACCTCTTTAACGGTAGAAACGACGATAGCTTTTAAAGGCGTACTTCAAAACGTGTCGAGTTGTATTGGCTCATTTAGAGTAATCTGTGCAACCATACTAGTCCGTGGTATGATCTCTGGAGCTGGCGCTTGATAACAGAGACCCAGACCAATCCGCCAGGTCCGTAGATGCGCAGAGTACTCAGCTAAAAGCTCCGCACTGCTGTCCTGACTTAGTCGATGTACTGGAAGTAAGAAGCTTGCACTTGACACCGATGAATTGGAAGTGATAGCGAAAGGCTCTTTTGGATGCTCACATGGCGTCCTATGCCATTCGCTATGCCGCTCACTGACAGCTGCAAATGTCCAAAGCAACTGGCAGCACTAGATTCTTACACTCTTTGTTTGACATTCCCTACTTCAAAGTATATCTGGCTAATGATAGACACATTTGAGCGCAATCTCAACAGCTGTGCCCATCTCTTCCTGAAAAGAGCTTCAAATGCTGCCGAGAAAACTTCTTAGTTGAAGCTGATGCTTATTTTTGCCCTCGAAATACTATACCTGCAAGAACTATTTGTTTGGCCTGGAAGCTCATTTTCCCAGATTGCCCGGTAGTACACAAGCTGTCTACAGTCGCCTACGGGCAGTGTAGCCTGTCCCTGGCGATAGCGGTACCGCTGAAAGGTGAGGTAGGGCTGATGCTTCAAGCTGCAGGCCAACCTCTTTAGCGATAGAAACGACGATACCTTTTAAAGGCGTACTTCAAAACGTGTCGAGTTGTATTGGCTCATTTAGAGTAATCTGTGCAACCATACTAGTCCGTGGTATGATCTCTGGAGCTGGCGCTTGATAACAGAGACCCAGACCAATCCGCCAGGTCCGTAGATGCGCAGAGTACTCAGCTGAAAGCTCCGCACTGCTGTCCTGACTTAGTCGATGTACTGGAAGTAAGAAGCTTGCACTTGACACCGATGAATTGGAAGTGATAGCGGAAATGCCCTTTTGGATGCTCACATGGC